AATTTTGTCTTAAATAAATAAAACATTCCTGTTAATACATATCAGAACAGCATTTCCTATTTTTAAAAATGACAACAAATCATTAACCCATATTGAATTTGTGATCTGCTATAACTTCTAGTTCCTTTTCTACAATGCTCCTGCCTAGCCAGCAGTTTCCCAGTTTTTCTATGTTATTTTTTTTTCAGATGAAGACCATTGTGCCTGTTTCTGTTGATTCCGCCCCCCCCCTTATTTTTTGGGTCATGTCTCTAATTTATGAAAATCTTTGAGTCCTACATTGGTCCTTTGGAACCCTTGCACTTCCTCAAAGCTTGGTGTCACCTGCAAATTTTCTAAATGTTTTAGCTGATATTTTGCCATCCAACTTAAATTAGCTCAAGTTAGTTCAGGAAAAGACCTTGTGGAGCTTATTTGTACAGTCCTCTCAGACTGAGAGCGATCTTTGTAAAACTGCCCTTCGAGTAGTGGTTACATCTCATGCATGCTCATTTTATAGTGATTTCAGCTAAGCACTGTTTCGCTTGTTTCCTTATAAGAATGTCTCATGGGACAGTATTAAAAGTCTTAATTATAGCAAACTATAGCATGCTATCGTTTCTTTGTAACTCACTCAGCCTTGAAGTACAAACTAGATTGATCTGGCAAGAATAAATCAATCGTATCAACGCCAGCTGTTCTTGACAGCTTAGTAGCCTTCTGCTGATTTTTTCAATTGTTTTCTTTAAATTTTTTTCCAGTATGGTTCTAGTATCTTTTCTAGGTACTTGTGTGGAAGGCCTGACTTCTAATTACTTTGATCTTCATTCCCTAGATACAGAGAGGCAATATTTGCTATTCGTCAGCCCTCTTACAGCTCTCCTTGTACTGTCAAATGTAATTATTGAGAGTTTGGAGATAATTTGGTTGGATCCTTAAACAGTAACTTGATTGGCTGTAACTAACCTAAATAGCCTTCACTCCGGTCTTTCCATACTCTGACAGGTCAGAGCATGCCTTTTCCCAGTGCATAACACTATTGCAGTGAGTATCTGTTAACTTTTCTCTGTATAGAAAGAAATGACATTTGACATGTCCTCTGTCAATTGCTGTCCTTCTTTAAATAGCAGACCTCGCTGGTTTTTGTTATTCTTACTCCTTATGTGTTTATATACCCTTTTCTTACCTTTTATGTCCCATAGTGGGCTATCAAGTAAACCTTCTAACTGGAAAATTAATTGCAATTAGATAATCCTTGTTAGGCACCTCTGTAAGGGAAAAAGAGGTGATCTGGAGTATTCCCATTCACTTGTAAAAAGCTGGGCTGTCACTTGTGGAAGTGAAGGTCTGAAGTGTATAGGAACAAGAAGTGTTCAGCATTTCTAAAAATTTGACTTGATTTAGATTTAGTCTCCCATTTTTCTGGCAGAGAGGAATTGGATTAATTTTAAGGAACTATGTCTGTGTTCATGTAGCATGAGAGGAGAGTGGACAACTGTACTCAGCTCAGTGCAGCACAAGAAACGAGGCTCATATATTCTCAAATCAATTGGCAAAGGAAGAAAAAAAAGTGCAAATGTGAAATAACAATGAGAAGAGAATAAATCAGTAACATGGAAACCAGCTAAGAGGCAGGCTGGATGGTATTTCTAGCTTGAATATCTGCAGTTCAACCTAAGCAACTGTATCAGAGGTATTTTTCCTGAAATCCCAGTCTTCCTGAACAACAGGGTTGAAGTTTTTAAGTGTCTTTACTTTTAATAATGAGATTTTAGCCTCTCAGTTGTGTGCTTTTGAAAACGCTTTTCAGGCTTTCTTTTTTCGGAAAATTTTGCATCTTCCATTATATTAAAAGGAGATAAAAATATAATCGGTGGATGGCAGAATTCCCTGGGAAAAACCGAAAAGATCCCCATGTCAGTGGTACATAAGGGAATACTGCCAACAAAAAGAGGCAGTCTTTTTTTAGGCTGGAGTTTTTACAGGCATATTGCTTTTAGGCTTTGGTGGTTTTTTTTTTCCTGTGGTTTTTTAATCTGCTGCAGACAAGAGGTCTCAGACAGCCCCTGTGAAGGAAAGCTATTGTAAACCATGAAATGCTCTCTTCCTTCCTCCGGAGAATCCACTGGCAAAGCGATTCTGATAAAGTTTCCTCCACTCAACTTCAGAGCTTCTACCACGAGAAGGATGAGCACTTACCAGTAGGAAGCTCATAAAAGACTTGAAAAAGTGAATCTCCAGGAAAAGGTGTAGGATTTTTCTGCCTCCTGGCTCCAGAGAGGATATAAACTGTTCCAGAGTTGTCTATAATTTTTCTGTGTATACAATTACAACAGCTGATCAGTGTTTTAAAAAAAAAAAAAAGGGCTGCCCTATCAAAACTCATTATCATTAGTTTGTATTAGAATAACGTTTACAGAACCCCTGTGAAATTAGGCCCTGCTGCATGATGTACTGTACAGGTGCATTAAAAGTACCAGCCTCTGTTAGGAGGGTTTACAATCTGAAGCACACGGGCAGAGAAAGGTTGGCAGACAGAAACATTTTCATTCCTAATTTACAGATGAGCAGCTGAGGCTAAAGAAATAGCAGTTCTGATCTGATGCTGCCTGGCAGTCTTGAAGAGTCTGGTTGTTCTGAGCAAGGCTGGCCCAGGCCTGGGCTTGCAGAATGCGTCTGTGGCACAGCCAAGAGTTAACCTCAACTTTCCAGAGTTTCTTGATGGTTTATTTGTGATTCTAGCTTTGCTAATTCACACCTGCTAGAAAGTGTTCCTCTCCCTACAAATATTCAGTATTTTGTTTTTAATCCTCACTCTATTCATAACTGACTTTGACGTGATTTCTAGGACTTTGTTGCAATTTCTAGTAAACGCTCATATTTTGATAGTAATTGAGGCTGTTTTAGAATATACTCTTTACTCTATCCTCTTTTCTGTGATGGATTCCTTTGATGGGCAGAGATCTATTAAGGTATGGCTACTTGACAAGTATTTTTTTTGTGAAAAAAATTGGGAATTGATACCAGCTGAGATCTTAGCTTGGGATCCAGGATCCACTAATTTTTATTCTGTAAGAACAGGCTGAGGCTCCAAAATAAGAGCTCCAACATGCACTGTATAAGCTATAACTATGTTTTACAGATATGAAGTGGGTGCTACCCTATGTCCTCCTATCGTTGACAACCCTTGTTGAGTCCTTTGAATGTCAAGCCTCGTTAAACCTCACCTATAATGGTGAATCTTTGTCTGGGACACCAATTTGGCAACCGGACTGTCTGGTGAGGTCTCCACAATAAGTGCCTGAGTGGACACGGAACAAGGGGTGGGGTGACAAAGCAGATCAGGGTGCAAGGGAATAATACCACTTTGTATCGACCAGGGTTGGGAGTGCTGGGGAATGTGGACTCTGTGACAAGCTTCTGGTGTTGTGCCTTTGCACAGGGTTGACAACCGAGCTAAATATGTCTATTATTCGTGATGCCCATTCCCTACTTATAGCCCTCAACAGTACTTGTGAGACCTCCTGTAGTAATAGAGGCGAGAAGGATACTTACGTGAGAATATCCGAAACTACTGTTGCACATAGCATGGCAAGTCACTCATTGCTAAAGTTGCATACATGTGAAGGTGCGCATGAGGATCAAGGAGTGGAGTGGTGCAGCCAGAAGACTGTTGTGCAAGGAGTCAGTGATCCCATGCTTACTGCCTTCTCATATACACAGGTGCACTCGGAATAGCCTGTGACTGCTTACAAACCCAATATAGCAAAGCGTCCGTAATTACTCGGGCATGTGTCTTCATACCATGGACACCATGTGACTGCTCGCTGCAGTCGTATAATTAATCAGTGTATACACAATAAACGTGCATGATTTCAATATGAGACTAGTGTATTGTCATGTCTACCTGAAATATTATATGCACCTGTTCAGGAATTGTAACTCTATTGAGTTAAGGATATTGGAGCATATTGTCCAAGGGACTATTCAAAGCTAAGTCCACATTCCAAGCTTGACTGCTACAAGTGACTAATGAATCTGTATTGTGAGCAAGACTCTAGAAGGGTACTAGCAATCCTGGGGCTGGCAAACCTTACCACAAATGAGAACTCTGCACAGCGTGCTGTGATCCACAAGGAAGGGCTTGTCCAGTGCTGCAGTTTCTATCTTTTACTCAAACTTAGTTAACCAGCTTTGAGTGTTGGTGCTTTTCTTACTGAGATCCCAAAAGAACTGGCACCTCCTTGGTGCAAAACATTATGCTAGGTGAAAAGTTGGAATCTGCTTATTCATGCAACTAACTCAAACTAACCATCTTGCTACTTCCTGATATCCTGGAATTGTGTGTTTCTGTCAGTAAAACTATGTAATGCAGCACTTGGCAGTTTGTCAGCACAGTGTGTCTTTGTGACAGGGTTGATTTGGCAAGGGGAAGCATCAGGCTTAATGTGTGGGTGGACCAGATCCCAGGATTTTCCAAGAAATTTTTTTCCGCACGGAATTTCCCGTCTCGTGGAGGACAGGCCAGCTGAGAGAATAAAAGGCCGTAGTAAAGGCAGGGGATTACATAGTCCAGACACTTGGAGCTGAACTTAATCTTCAAGTCCGTATTCAGCAACTTAGCAACGGAAAGCAGTCACTGAGAAATACCGCAGAGGACTTTTGCCACCTGGCCATCACAACTGCAACCTGTGAGTATAAATGGAGTGTGTTATTCTGTTTCATTGCTCAACTAAAGGAAAACTGGACAGATGGAGTTCTGTGCCGGTGTTCTTTAAAAGCTGTTTACATTTAAAAGCTATCTTGATATTAAGAACTACTCTAAAATGAATAATTTCCTAACAATGGAAATCTTATTTAAGTCTTTAGAATAATTGTTAAAAAGTATGTAGAAAAGATTGCATAGACAGTATTTTATATTGAATTGTAAAAAGTCAGTATTTGTTCTTTACAAATGTGTTTCTTTGATCTTTCATAGCCATCTGCTTAAAAGATAAAGAGAAGAGAAAACTCTCAGAAACATGATTTGCTTGTGGTTCCTGTCTCTTCTTGCTTATGGTAAGTGTGTATGTCTCTGTGTAGAAAACTAGTTGGATGGTAATAGTAGTGTGCCTGTTCTGTTTGAGCTCAGAATTAAACAGAATTTTTGAACCTGACCTAATTAGCTTGAAGCTAGGTTCACATAGAAAAACCTCTAGCTGCAATGGCATGTTTCCCTGCTTGCCTGTCAAATACATAATTGACTCCTATAGTTTGCTATGAAGTCTGCAAAGCTTTGTGTGATCGGACATAGTTTCACAGGGTGAAGTCCCTGTACTTGCTTCAAAACAGGCATGTCAACATCTTGCCAGTTAATTGTTTATAAAATAATTGCCACTACTTTTTATGCAGTTTCAGATATTGACAAGTTTGCAATAGTTATAGAGCTTTATATATCCTTTTCTAGAGACAGAGGAAGGAAAAAGTCAGACACCAACTTTTGACATCTTTTCATTCTAGGACTTACAATACTGCAGGGTGTGAATTGTTGGACATACCATTATTCAGACACAAACATGACCTACAGGGAAGCAGAGCTGTGGTGCAAAAAGAGGTATACTAATATGGTTGCCATTCAGAATAAGGAGGAAATCAATTATCTCAATAACTTCTTACCCTTCAATCCGGGTTACTACTGGATTGGAATCAGAAAAATTAATGACGTATGGACCTGGATTGGAACCAACAAAGAACTGACAGAAGAGGCAAAAAACTGGGCTTCAGGTGAGCCAAATGGCAAAGGAAACAACGAGGACTGCGTTGAAATCTATATCAAAAGAGGGAAGGATGATGGCAAATGGAATGATGAGCAGTGTGAGAAAAAGAAGGTCGCCTTGTGCTACACAGGTATGGTATGATAAAGGCCATTCTAGTGTGCCCCTGTGGAGATGAGATGGTGGGTGGGATGAGTTGTTTAACCTAGTCTTACATATTAACTACCTGACCCTGTAAGCACTTGTACACTTATCCTTATTTACAGGACTGAGGTTGTTCTTGTTCTAAGAGTTGGATTGATCTCACTTACCTTTTAGCTCTCATAATATTATGCATTTTTTAAGAGCAAATCACCAGACCTTCTCTATAATCAGTGGAGAGAAACAGGCTCTTCCAGAGAGTGACTTTCATCCCACTCTCAAGTGGGTGTCTCAGCTAGATAAGAATGGCTCTTTTGGAGGCATCTGTCTGCTGACTATAGACCACTGGATTAGATTAGACACTTTGTGTAGAGGTGGCTAACGCCAGGTCAAAAAAAAAAAAAAATCTAAGTCAAGCATCAGCCAAATTAGAGCTGTGGTGAGTTAATGAAGAATGTACCTGTTGAGGATTTCTACTTACCCCATAGTATATTGTTCCTTTTGCATTTTAAATATTACTAATATCTACCTGAGAACAAGTGGTCATGGAGTTTCCTGCCAGTAGAATCCTTTCACTCTGAGCTAGTCTGTCAAAGGTGTTAGTTTCTGAAATGCTTCTGTGAAATGACAGGGTAATTTTATGTACCGAACACCCTGCTTTTCTTTTGCTATACAAAGTGCTTGTTTAGTGCCAGAAAGATAAACAAAGTGCTAGCCAGGTTTCATTAGTGGCCATTGCTGATTCTTTTATAATTTGCTGTATTTTTTCTTTTTTTTTTTTTTCCTCAGCTTCTTGCAACCCATATCTCTGCAGTGGCCGTGGAGAATGCATGGAGACTATTAACAATCACACCTGCCGTTGTAACCCTGGATTCTATGGGCCTGAATGCGAGTTTGGTAAGATTATTCCATCCTGCTTTTCAGCCAGGGTGATGTTCATGCTAGCTAGTGTTCAGTTTGTTTGGCTTGTTGATTTACCTGCTCAGCCAATGAGACTGACTGTACCTTCTTGTGTTTCTTTGAAGTTGAGAGTTGTGATCCACTGAAGAAACCTGATCACGGGAGCCTCAAGTGCAACCATCCATTGGAGAACTTCAGCTACAACTCGTCCTGCACAGTTCAGTGTGAGGAAGGCTATGAACTGACTGCATCGGAATCTGTATACTGTACTTCTTCTGGAGTCTGGTCTGCCCCCCTTGCAGCATGCAAAGGTGAGCTTCTCAAGCAGTGCTAGATGAGCTTTCGACATTGTACATAGCTCTGTAAACTTCAGCGTTGCTCTGTTAGTAGGTACAAATTGAAGTTCTGGCCTGCTCCTTTGTAATTATGTGGTGAAGGTGCTATTTCATTGCAGCACACAGGTGTCTCTCATCCTGAAGAGATGAAATGGGCAGGATGGTCTAGATTTCCTTGTAGGG